AGCCTCCTGCACGACCCGCTCTTTGGTCTTCAGGTCCAGGTCCAGGGCATTCATCCGGGCCCGGTAGAGCTGCTTGAACTGCTGGGCATTGTCCACATTCTCAAACATGTAGAACTGGGCCCCCTCCCCTGTGATGGGGAGTTTCAAAGCCCGCTGGGCCACCTTCTTCAGCACTTGGCCCCCTGAGAGGTCCCCCATGTAGCGGGTGTAGGCATGGGCCACCAGCAGCTCAGGCTCGTGCTGCCCCACATGGTGGATCCGATCCACGTACTTCTGGGCAGCCTTGGAGCACTGCACCTGCTCTTCCCAGTTCTCGCCGAAGAAGTAGACCATGTCCTTGATGAGTGCTGCCTTCCGGTGCAGCTCCACGGGGAAGTACAGGGGTGAGAAGGCCGGGTGGTCTTTGTTACGGTCCATTTCCTCCTCCAGGGCCGAGTAGGTAAAGTAAAGTGCAGTGGTGGCCAGCTGTGGGGTGGGGCAGGGTGATTGTGAGAAGGGTCAGCTCACCCCATCCCAGCCACCCTCTGCAGAGCATAGAATTAGTTCTCTGCAACACAGACGTATACTTCATTTCCATTACTGTCACTCCATCTGAGCCCGAAGAACCTTAGCTTCCCTCCAGGAAGAGGCAAGAACAAGGCAGGAGGGTGTGTGTGTGTGCGCGCGCGCGCGGTGGGGCACTACCCCAGGGGTGGTCTGGTACACGACCTTTGCAGAGACTGAGGTCCCATACCTTAAAGAGCTCCTTCTTGATGTTGCCTTTCAGGAAGTCTTTGACAAACTGGGTGTTTTCTGCCCGGTCATGCGCTTCCTTGGTCCCCTCCTTCAGGAGCTCTGAGAGGTCAGATATTCTGGGGAGAGATGGGGGCGGGCTGGGAATTGATCCCTCTTCACTTCTAGAAAGATCCACGTGCCACCCACTAATGCCAATCCTGCTACAGAACAGAGCCAATGGAGGACTGCGTGGAACATCCTTTCTGTATGACAGCCAAGCCAGGATGCTGAGATGGCATGGAGATGGCACAGGACACCGGAGCACAGCCTGCCCATCAGAAGTGTGTGTGTTTGCTGGGAGGTGCCTGAGCAAGGGAATGAGCGAGGGGCCAGGAGAAAGACCGCCACATGCGGCAGTACTCAAAAGTGTCCCCCAACCCAGTCGCTACCAAGGACCTGGGCCTGTGTCTTGGGGCGACCTTGCATCCCTAGCCTCTTGGAGGCCACAAGTGGATGGACAGATAGACCATAATGGAATAGGCTGGAGAGAAGGGGACCAAGGGCTGGTGTTTGTGCTGCTACAAAAAGCACCTTAGAATGAAGGGGTGGGAGCAGCAGTACGGACATAGCAGAGAAGCTGGAGGAGCTCCTGCACACCGCCAACACCCCCACCCCAGCCCATCTGCTCACTTTAGGAAGATGCTCCCCACTTGGTCCTGGCCAGCATCTCAAGAGGCTGCTCAGGTCACCCAGCCATGGGCAGAAGATAGCTTCATTACCAGAATTACTTCAAGTTATAATAGAACTGCCCACAACAGCTATAATAATAGGCTATAAGCAGTGAGGAACAGATGCTTGAAACTGGAGGCTTAGCACCACCAGAGCCCCCCACCCCAATCAGGAAAGGGGGAAGTCCCCAATGAAGGGACAAGCAGCCTTTCACAAAGGCTAGTGCAGACATGGTCTTACCACTAAGATTGTGAGAACAAAACGGGTGGGGACGAGATGTCCCACCTCTGGGTGATGGGAGGACAGGACTTCCCTGGAGCTGTAGGGGGTGTGGCCATGTGCGTGCATGAGTACGCTTATCTCTGGGTCCCAGCCACACAGCCATGGCCACAGCCTAGGCAGCAAGGACCTCAGTCAAACCTCACCCGGCATTAGCCGGCCTCATCCCACTCACCTGGCCTGGCTCTCCCCATCCAAAGCCCTGGGGCTTGTTTTCTCTGACTCTTCCAGGCCCTCTGATGTCTCCAGTTCAGCTGACATGTTGCTGAGTGTGGTTTCCTATGCACTGTGCCCTGGGGTCCTGGGAACAAGACACAGAGCTGTGAAGCAGCAGCACCATTCAGGCACTCCCTACTTCTCAATAGAGCCATATCTGAATACAAACAACCTCATCACAGGATGGATGTGGCACCACTATTGTACTGGCTCAGGCTCTGCCCTTTTGTTTTAATAATTGCACTGTGATTATGCAAAAGCATCCTTGTTTTCCCCCCCTCACCACTGGATGACTTTAAAAAAATTATTATTTTCATTTCTCTCTCTTCTTTTTTAATCGTTTTGTTAGTGGCTCATACAACTCTTATCACAATCCATATATACAGCAATTGTGTAAAGCTCATTTGTACATTCATTGCC